TTGTTCGTACAGGTTCTTTTGCAAAGAATACGTTTGTAAACATACAGTTGGACTTGCAATTGCTTTTGGCTATCATGTAATCTCAAAAGATCGTATGCCTTTAGGACCAAAAAAAACGTGGTAGACCAAAAAAATCTAGTCTTGCTCTACTTTTTTGAACTATCATATATATTTGTATTTTTTCGTACAATATTTTTTTGCGTTCTCTTTTCAGTCTTTTGGACTTAGAATTCTGAACCGTTCTCTTTTCGGTTTATAATTCTGACCGTTCTCTAATCACTCAAAATTTGACTCTAAATAGGTAGCTGTTCTCTTTTTAGCCCTAATTACGTTCTCTAAAAAATTCTTGTCCAACACAGCAAATAGGACGGTTATATTTTCGGTTCATACTCATCATCATCTTTAAAATTAGAATCATTATTTAACAAAACTATATAACGGTAACTTAATGATAGTAATAACGATGATGTTGAACGAAAGCCTAATACTGCATCTGGATAAGGATTATTACGAAATAAGAACTGCTCATGTAATGAAGTACAAGTCATTTGTTGAAGCATAACGAGTGATTGTAATGTTTTCGGTAATAATGAGAATACGGATAAACGAGTTGTAGACATAACCGGATTCGTAGAGGAAATTGAATTGAGATATTGTTTTTCAAGGTAGTGTTACTCTTCATTTTTATAGTCTCACCCGATCCAGTAATGTCGTTCTCAGCTAAATTTAGTTCTAAGCATCAGTTTTGAAAAATATTTCAACCAGTTTCCGTGTCTACAGTAGCCAATCATTCCCAATTATAGAGTGGTTAATATTATAAATAGTGTTAGGCTCCGCCTAACTTGTATGTACAAATGGTTTATTCAAAAGCACTTCTTTTAGTGTGTACGAACAAACAGTATATATAGATGAAGAAAGAATGCTGACAAGCAATAAGAACTGAGTCAACATTCCTTGTAGTCATGAGAAATAAAAACAAAAGCAGAAAGAGGAAGGAATGTCAGTGACGGCAGTGACGACTGACATAACAAACAGTGTACAAAGTATGTGAAAAGAACAAACTCTATTCCAAATTGAGACCGCTTTTTCTACTATAAAATTTTCATTTCAAATTGAGACCACTTTTTAAATCTAATTCTAATAGAACGAGTCGTAACAATTGTCTGCTTTGACTTTTATCGGTAGTGAAAAGTAAAGATTTGTACTGTCAAAGCCACATTTCTGGAGATGCCAATAGGACAACATCATTCAAAGGGTTTCGGCATTTATACTTATATTGCCTGGCACGGCAACATCCCTTTCACACTAATTCGATTTGATGAAAAATATGTTAATCTGAAAGTAAAAATTACATTAACCAACAAAAACTTTTTAACCGTAATTGTTCGTTTTTATGTCACCTGTGTATAGATAAATTATCATCGCCATTACCTCCAAAACGTACAAATATTTGATATCCTGATCGAGATATAGACTTTTTTGATATCTCAATCGGGATATCGGGATACAATTTCAAAATATATTCCGTTCGGGATATACGAAACATTTTGCTGTAAAGAAAAATATACTGATCGGGATATATATCCCGATTGGATCTACATCCCGGTCGGAATATGTTTCTACGCTGTCCGGGCTATCAGCTCACGAAAAAAAAGCAATACGATCCTACCACAAAAAATTTTACAGGCG